CCAACAACCAATGCAGTCCTTCTTCCCAGCAGAAACCTCCCAAACCTGGTCTTTACCGGCAAGATTTTTATCAGCTTTCTGGTCTTCTGAGCTCGGACCAGAATCTCCCAGACAGAACAGCTGAAGTTATTCTAGCGCTTCTCTTTCAGGTGACATCTCTGAACCTTTCCGAACACTTCCCACAAGCCATTTCCAAAGGCTCTTGAACCACACGGTCAGATATAGTCACAGCAATAACCCCACTCCTGGTACCAAATTCCGTCTTGGTTACTTTTTTCTCGTTGCTGGGACAAAATACCTGATGCCCAAAATTAAGGAAGGAAAGGTTTATTTTGCTTACAGTTTGTGGAAGTTTCAGTCTGTACTTGGCAGATTAGAAGGCAGAGTGGCACATGGCAGAGGGCTACAGCTCATGGCGGCAGAACACAGCAAAGCAACAAAAACACACAAGGGAGGAAACGGCCAGAAGCACCCTCTTCCTCTCCCTTACATATGTAAACTATCCACGCCAGGGCGGGTGTGGCTCTCACACCCATAATCAATCAAACTCTAAAAGCCTGCCCCATGGCCGCATGAGGCTTTGGGGGGACCCCCAGACACAAACCATAACACCTTCATTCTTATCAGACTGATGCTGCCAGGCAGTGAATAGGGCTCAAATCCTCTGCTCAAGAAGGGCAGAGAGGGGCCATACTGAGTTGGAAATGGGGTGTCATTAGCTTCATCTACATTTGTTTAAAGTCTCCAAGGTTTGAAGCTGGTCTGCAGAGGTGAAAGTGAAGATAAAGCATATAGGAGGCTAAATACAGAACTCGCTTCTGGATATCTTTTTTTTCCTTAACGAAGACACCCAGTAGAATACATCGAATACACTGATATTTAAAAGTGGCCACAATGTGCTCAGCTATTTATTTGTGCTAGGAAAGACTCTAATGGAAGTAACAATCAAATGCCTTCAAAGCGATGGGATGGTATCACCTTCCTTGTTCTTTGCATTTACATGCCACAGCCCCAACCTCCAGCACCTCAGAATGCAGCTGTATTTGGAGTCAGGTAATTAAAGTAAAATGAGGTCATTAGGGTGGGCTCTGATCCACAGCACTGTTGTCTTTATGAGAGAATATTAGGATGCAGGCGGCACAGATAAAGGACTGATAGTGTGAGGACACAGGAGGCAGGTAGCCATTTGTCAGCCAAGGAGAGAGGCCGCAGAAAGAACTCACACCGCCACACCACGACCTTGGACTCCTGACACCCAGGACCATGAGAAGATAATCCTGTTCAGTCCGGTGGCCTGTGACGCTCTAGGACAGCAGCTGGAGTTGACCAGTGAGCCAAAGTCACTCTGGGTACCTCACACTGTTCCCTCTTCTGCTCGTTTTTCCTCTCACATTCTTTTGCTTTAACCCTTTCTCCTGCCCTGCCTCTTTCATTACCTGCCTTACAGAAGAGTTTCCCTCACCTTCTTCTCAGAAAGAGGTGGGACCTTGGGAAGGGGAGAGAAGAAGAAGGCATCCAGCACCCGCTCCCCCAGTTTGGGTGAGAGAGACAGACCCAGTCTGCCATAGCTCACCCCGCCTGCGTGGTCTGAGGGTGCCGAGCCATTTGACATCAGCAGATGTGCTTCTCTCTTTCTGGGAGACCCTGACCAAATCACTCAGTTTTACTCAGATGCTGTTTCTCACACATTAAAAAAAAAAGAAAATCAATACCCAGCATTTTGTAGTGTGATACTGTGAAAAGCAAAAACCAATCAGCAAATACAGGCAACCTCTGTGGCGCTGGATTACTAAAGGATTACTTGGGCTCTAGATTGCACTGGTCTGGTAAAGGTTACTTTTGGTTTTCCTCCCAGTTAAGATTTATAAAGAGTATTATGCTTGGTACTGAGAAGAGAATTGTAAACGCATGAAAGGCGGCGCCTTCAAGGACCTAGCAATCTGTTTGAAAACCTGAAAATTTCAAAGGGCAAAAACTTAGAAAATTAGTTGAAAGTGCTTTTTCAGGGCTGGATGGATATACGGAGCCATGTCTCAGTGTAGGTCAGTCCAGGCACACACTTGAACTTTCCAGGACAACTTTCCAGATAGCAATTTCTGGACTGCAGGTGTAGCTGAGTGGTAGATTATTTGCCAGGCATGTGTGAAGTCCCTGGTTGACCCCCAATAACAATAACAACAACGACATCCAAAAAGCAATTTGTACTCACACCTCACCAAAGTCACTGCAAGTGACATTTAAAAATCTGACTAGAAATCAAGGAAGTTAACAAACAAAATGATAATGAAGTAGTGTATTTGTTTTAAACAAATCAAATGCTGTAGTAATTTATAAATAAAATACTTCAAAACACAAATACTTCCAAATGTTCCTAAACATATACCTTGAATGATGACATTTTAATTTTCTCACTAATTTCTCAGGAAACCCTAGGAACAAAAAGACTACTGATGTAGGAAAAACATATATTCTATAGAAATGCGATCGATATCTTGCTTTAGAAATATCTGGCTTCAGCAACATTTTAACCAGAAAAGAGTACCTACATAATTTTTTTAATTTAGGAAATTCGCACTTCCTAGTAAGATGATCAAAATATAGTCCTTTGCCAGTGGAAACATGTAGATCAAAAGGTTTTTTTAATGCTTCAGCAGCACATGTTACAGCAGTGACATTTGGTGATGGTTCCTTTGTTTAGTTTCTCCTGGTGCTTGGGGTTAAACCCAGGGCCTCACACACAGGAGGCAGGTTCTCACCACTGGGCAGTGCCCCAGCCCAACAGGGGCATTTAGATTTAGATTCCAGGGTTGCCGCTTACTCAGACACCCACTCAGACAGACAATGTTGACGCCCACTCATTCTCTGGGTGTCACTTTCCTCTGTTTCCAGTGGGTGCAATGACGTCTGTCTCGGCAATACTCTTGTACCTCTTAGGCTGAGACCAGGGGCCGCGGCATCTGCGTCTCCAAACAAGAATGTACACTCGTGCATTATACTGTAACTGTTTCCTCGCCTTTCCCTCCCCCTAAACTGTGAATTCTTTAAATTCACCTTTTATCTGTCTCTCACCACTTACTCCTCTTCTCTCAAGGCTGACCCTGTACACAGTTGAAATGAATGAATATTTGACAAATGAATATATGAATACATGAGTAATGCATAGAAATTAAAAAATACAGGCAGAAAAAAAAAATCTTCTACTGTGTAGGAAAACCCCTTACGAACTCCTAACATATTATGTATGTCAAACACGATTAAACTCTGAAAAAACACAAACAACAAGAGTTACTTTCAGCTATAGAAGGAAAACAAGAAAAATGGGCAAAAGTAGAAATGTAGCTGTCAATAACTGTTCTGGAAAAGATAATCCAACACCTTGCATTATTTCCCCTGTAGTCTATGGTTAAAACAATCTTTGAGAAAATAAGCCAACATTATGTGGCATATTTACATCCGCGAAAATCTCAGCGACATAAAATGAAGTTCTCTCTGCGCTTTGTGAAAGTTTTAGCTGAAATACTGCAAAACATAGCCATGCTTGCTGCCTGTTGCATGTGATTTTCTTTGGCATAGATTTTGTAACCACTTTTCGTTGGAAAAGCTGAAGGTCAATTTGCTTTCCTGGATACAAACTGGATCCTGTATTTGATATTTCATTAAAAAAATAATGCAGCAGTGTCTGCCAGGAGATGCTCCCTTGAAAACAAGGAAGCGAAGTTCTGTATCGTTTCCGATGTTTTTTGTTACTTGTTACTTTGATTGTTTGATCAATCTTATATTCTTACGTCTGGTGGACTGGGCAACTTCACTGAAGATTACAGTATGTAATGTAGCAACCATTGTTAATTCCTTTCATTTTGTTTTGAGGTCATGTATCATCTTTGTTGTTTTTGTGTTTGTCTCATTGTTGTTAGTTTTTTTCTCTTTAAAATAATAAAAAAGGGGCTGGGGATATAACTCAACGGCACAGCGCCTGCCTGGCAAGCGCAAGATCGTGAGTTCGATTCCCGGTGCCGGAAAAAAAAAAAAATAATAATAATAAAAAAAAAACTTTACAAAGATTGGGTTCTAACTTTTCCGTGTCTCCCAATAGACCACATCCAAGACAGAACCACGGTACTAGGTAGCTTAGTGATCTAGCCACCTGATTCCCGGCCACCGACAAGTGGCTGCCGCAGACGGCGAGTTGACCCCAGAAAAGACCAGCGTCTCGGGAAAGCTCAGACCTCCAGGCTTTAGGCTGCCTGGACCCCGGGTCCTCAGCGCTCCGCCCCGCCCCTCCGTTGCCAGGCAACGAAGGCACGCGGCGACTCGGCTCCGCCCCCGTTGCCAGGGCGACGCGACGCGCGCTTTGTGCTCCCGGCCCCGCCGCCCTCGGCGTCCCGCACCTGCTGGGCCGCGGAACTTTTCAAATCTCCCGCCCGCAGCGCTGCGCGGTGTCCGACTGGGAGCCGCCGAGGCCGCCGCTCCCGCGCGCCGGTGAGAAGACGACGCGGCAGGCGCGGTGCCCCGGCACGCCCTACCTGTCTCCGCGTCCC